CGCATGTTCGTATTTAAGGTCTTCAAACCACCGGACTTGCAACCCCAGTCCGTACTGATGTACATGTCGCAGCCGTATTGTATAAGGCGCCGTATTGCATTGATGTTTTCTAATACGGATTGCAGTTCGCCTTAAAAAAGTACGCGGCAAAGAAATGTGCCGCCGGAATACAATAGGACGCGTCATTGTTACGCTGCTTTGAAATACTTAGGGTCGTATTCTAGAACTCTATTCAATGCTCAAGTCAGGATTGCACTGGAAACACAAGCACTGAAAATACGACCCTAATGGCAGGGACTTGAGTATGATATCAAGTGCTTTAAACCATACTCAAATCCCGACTTGAGCATTGAGTAGAGTTCTAGAATACGACCCTCAGTTTCAAATAGAGCCGCCAGTAGAGCTACATTACCATAACAACAATATTTCCGTTCCAAACAGCAACTGTCTCAACAAAGTGCATACAAGGGTATAAATAATAAATAATAATGAGAGTGGAAAATGTAAAAATATGAGTGAAAATAGTGAATAATGGTGAATAACTAACGCAAAAAAAAAAACGCAAACAAATTCGGTTCTGCTTTGCTTTTTAATATTCTGTCAAACGTTGACCGCCGCTTCGTAGAACGTACCGTGATCACAATCCGGCTGAACATGAGGTTGCCGTATTAGAAAACAGCGCCGTTTTGCAAACCAGCTAGCTGTAATGCAATACGGCGCTTTATACAATAACAATACGGCAGTGACATACGTATTGAATGATTAACTTTTCGCGATTACTACGCATTAGAAATAAAACTATTATTTCAGAGTTAAATCTTGTATATTTGTTTTTTCAAACAAATCAACGTTTTTAATAAAAAATAAAACAAATTTTATGATTTAGACTCGAAAATAGTAGCTTCATTACCAACGTCTCTCAGCACTTAATCTACCGTTGAAGTTTGTTATTAAAAGCTTTTATTATCAATGAAGTGGTCTTGGTCACTGGAGATAGTTTCATCCAAGATGCATGTAACAGGACTGAGGGTCGTATTCTAGAACTCTATTCAATGCTCAAGTCAGGATTGCACTGTCACCACAAGCACTGGAAATACGACCTTAATGGCAGGGACTTGAGTATGATTTCTAGTGCTTTGAATCATACTCAAGTCCTGACTTAAGCATTGAGTACAGTTCTAGAATACGACCCTAAGAAACTGTTTATTAATACGAATACCTTTAATGTAAATGTGATTTTCTTCTAATGTGTACAATAAGAAACATAATTTCATCAGAAAAGAAGAAAGAAAAATTGTGAACTCCTCATCATTTACATGTGTTTCAAACCTATTTTTTAATATCGCAAATAAAATGAAATTTTTTTTTCAAGAGTTAAAAATTTTATCGTCCATAGGCAATGAAACTTTTTATTTCGGATCTAAATGGCGTATATTTGTTTATTGCCCGAAACGTTGATTTGTTTGAGATTTAGATCCAAGGAAAAAATAGTTTCATTTCCTATGCGTAACAATCGGTAAAACCTAAAAACTCGACATTAACCGTCCAAGTTACCATTCAGTTGTATAAAACTAAGTCGGACAAATAATCTTCGGCTAATTACAAGACAATGTTTTATTAAGGTTCCTGAAATCGCGATTCCGCTCGGGCGTTCGACGCAAAAACCACGTCTATTTCTTGTCTTGTCTTAACGCGATTCCGTGACGATAATGTAGTAACTAAATTGCTTCCAAGAAATATTACAAAAGTTTCGTCTGCTAACAGCTTGTGAACAAAACTATTAAACTGTAATCATTAGCAACTACGTGTGCTAACGTATGGACCGTATAACTTTTTACTCTGCTACGTAATAACTTTGCCGTCATAGGCCAGAGCATTTGTTGCGACCACACGCAGAGCCGAGGTCGCTGCCAAACGCACGCGACATGTGACAACGGCATGATGTACAGCAAACAATGATTGAAGATAGCATCTTGTTGGTAAATAAACAGCAGGCTAGTATGATTGCCATATCAAACCTCAGCTGAAACAGGTCTCGGAACAGAACCAAAGGATCAAGCAATGTTATTTCGGGATGTGCAAAAGCCCTGAACCCCGCAGGTATGGTCTATAATATGAAGCTATCGTATCACAGTAGTCGTGTTCAAATCTATGACATCAATTAAGTCTTAATGCAGTTAAGGATGGTTGTGCAAAGTGATGGGATTAGTTTCAGATTTGGTGTTACGTTTTCAGTGCCTAGATGAAGTGTAAATGGTAATAGGGAAATTCACATTCGGGAGAGTTGCCAACGTGGGGTTCCTGGGCGCCGGCCAGCGTCAATGAATCATTACATATTACCTAAACCGGACGACTATTTATAATATTCTATATTCGCCACACGTGGCTTATGATGCGATAGATGATGGATTGACGGAAGTTTTGTCTCGTCTCCAACAAATTCATTTGTTTCGACAATGAACTTGAAGAAATGTAAATGACGATAATCTATTCATATTGGTGATTAGCCCCCTTTAGGCTGTCACTCCATCGCGCGTGATCAGGAGCGCACAGTGGCTAGCTTAAAACGCGAGATGTCTATGCGCGAATAGCAGTATCTCGCGCTTTACGTCGCTGTCGCGCCAGTCGCGCCCTTTCGTGCTTGCCTGTAGGGCTGTAGCGGGAAAGCCTGCACGTGTTCGCACTTGCGCGATTACCAGTTCGAAATTTTTTAAGGTAACGTTCTTTCGGAAAGAGAGTCTGTGTAAAGGCTAATCGTGTAGGATACACCGCGTGAAACTAGTACTTGTCAAAGTGCGCGTCTGATGAGCGCAATCGCGCGTTCTTTCCCTTTTCCTTCCAACGTCTTTACACGCGCATTCAATCGCACGCGATTGCTGTACCACACGCGATTGAGTGAGTTCGCGAACAGCTGAAAACAAAAGAGAACTTTTCACGTTGTCCTTGAAGTGACATTTGTGTATAAATATAGTACTCTATCGGTCGTTCACACGACTTTAAATTTTACTCATACTGTATGTTATTCTATGTTCATCTCTGCTTCCGCGAAGTTACTAAGCTGAAAATATCTTAAAAAATATATAGTATTCGACCTTCACTGAGATAATGAAGTCTACAACGTGCATTAACGTAAGAGCGAGTATTAACTTTTAACGATAACCTCGGCAAGCCAACATCTCACTGTATATAAGTTAATTAAATTTTCTCACATATGTGGTGTATGTAAAATGCGAGAGTTTGAATAGATGTTTGTAGTGCAATTACACCACAGCAACTTTTGAAAGGCCGTGGATGCAACTTGTGACAATAAAGTTCTACGCACTTTGCAATTTGGCATTTATAGGAACGAGGAAGAAACTCAATATCGGTCTAAGACGCGGCCTGAAAATTGTACGACTTTGATTATTTATCAATTCCTTTTTGTGATGTCCCTATTCTGTCATTAATACTGGCTGGATGTACTTAATGCCTTTGTTTGCCATCTCTGGCGAAAATACTCATAATTCTTCGTGAGATAAAGGACTGCGAGAACTAACACTCGCCACTCGTTAGTAGAAGAGTAGTTTAAAACAATTTTATGGGATATTTAGTTTTTGAATATAGTTTGTTTTAAGATGTACATCCTAAATTGTATGGATGGGTAGCTCAAAATGATTATATTTATTTATTTAAAAGTGAGATAAAAAGACAACATTATGTAAGGCACAATTATGTTATGTATAAGCCAACTACAGGTACCCACATCACTCAAAGTATACCCAGATTCAAAATAACAGTAATAATACAATAAAACTTAAATATTAATAAGTGCAATATTAACTTCAAATATTAATAAATAAAATAATTTGGTTTATGACAACGAATTCAACTAAAAGTTTATTTGAATATATTTTATATAGTTTTTCAGGATGTGCGATCCCCTTATTTATCATACACTATCCGTGATACTCGAACCAGCGAGATATAATACAAACTGGCACGTTGAACCAAAATTGGTAGTGGCAATGACCGTGGAGATAACCGCTTTTTACAAACTGACTACTATGTAATGCAGTTCATACGTACACATTGCGTAGTAGGTATTTGTACGCAAGAATCTCACCTGGGAAACTTCTTTCACTTGCTCCATTTGTATGTATACATACACACTTTTTTATATAGTGTTAAGTGACGGGACGAACAAGTCGTGCGCCTGATGGTAAGCTATACGCCTGTCCATAACAGTTGCAGTGCCACTCAGAACTTTAAATCGCAAAGATCTGAGGGGCACTTACACTACGCCTGTCACCCTGGGACATACGTTGACAAGTCCCACGTGCCTGTAATTTCACCAGCACCCTTACCTTCAAAACCGGAACGCAGTAATGCTGATATTACTGCTTGGCGGCAGAAATAGGTAAGGTGTCAGTACTTCCCTAGACAAACTCTTTCACAAGGAGCTCTATTGCTACAAATTTTAACCATAACTCTACCATGAGATTGTAGTGTTCAATCAAATCGGCGACGGCGGCGATGTATATGGCAAATTGTACAGCGCCAGCGTCTCAAGCGACCTTACCAATACTAAAATTTCCTATACAAATTTTACACGATCACTAGAGGTCAAAATTTTAAGATCAAGGTGGAAGGACTGGTCTTAACGGCAACTTCTATCGGGTGATACAATAAACTGCACAAAAGCCATAAAACAAAAGTGTATTCCACACTATTAAACAACTCATTCGACTGAATTGATCATCCCGTCGCAGGTCCACCAGGCTTGAAAGAGTAAAATTACGATTGAAATGAATCTAGTTCAATTCTGAATTCTCATCTTCAATTGAGTAATAGTAAAAAGCGAGCGAAAACACGACGAATTCATGAAGAGAGCCATCTCTTCATGATTTGAGAACCATATCTATTTTTGTATTTTCCGTGTGCCAAGCGCTGTAGAATATGGCTCATCTCCCGGTTAATTGTTGCAAGACTTCTCTAAAACATTGCTAAATTTAAAATTGCAGTGTTTCTGCGCAATGACGTTGTTTTACTGCGCGCACTGGCAGGCCTACGTTACGGGCACGCTCAAGCTGGGCCGCATCGACGTGACGGAAGCGCAGTACTCCATCATCGCCATCCAGTTGCTCTCTGCCACGCTCGGCCCTAGCTTCTGGGCCTCGCAGGTAATGATATCCATCTGGAATGTTATCGTTTGTCTACTGAAAAATACCCAAAGTTCTGAGGATACTTTAGGCATTAGCGATTTTGCGTTAGTGCTTTCGATGTTGGTGATTTGCAGCGTTCGATAGCTGCGTTTAAATAAGCTGAAGTGAAATGTTTCGTCGCCATTTGTCGTGAAACTATATCGCCATTTAAATATTTCTTAAAAATGGTATCGTCAATGCTAAAAGTATCTTGGAGCCGTAGGCCTTAACTGTATCCTATGTGCTTTGATTATAATCAGATCTCCTTATATTTATCAAGCACTGTGGGCCAGATATTTGCTACCTTAAAAGTTATCTGAATAGTTATAGATTTCATTGCAAACAAATATGCGGAGATACTGATTATTATAATGATAATAATCATGTTATTATATATTATTACATATGATTATATATGATGTAGACATATATTATATGATGATTATATATTATGATGTAGGAAAATTCGTATCACCATATTTTCGCCAGCTATCAGAATAGAATGTGTAGAGAAATGTGTGCTGCCAAAGTTACTAGGAATATTCTTGTACTTATCGCACCTCTGATAAAACACAGACTTAACTACAAAAAGTTATAAACCCGAATCATTCTTAAAATGCAATTTTCACGGAAAAGCAGATAAATATTATGCATTCCTTCATTTTTCTATAGAGGGCTTAATGCGTATTGAAATAATATAACATTTAAGAGCTCTTCAAATGTGCTCCGTCGTACTAATTACAAAATTTAACTTATTATCTGTAAATTTTACAAATGCAAGTTAAGACGCTTTTTCTCCGTTGCGGCGGTGCGATATGTTATTTTTTTTCTCTCATAAATGTAAATAGGCACAAAATGTGTCCTATACAGGTTTCCACTTGACAATTCTGAACCGGTCAAAGTGTTTCACATAATGTTAATTAGTTAACAGAGTGAAGTAGGGACCCTTGCATCTGTTTAAAGTTACTCAAAACACGCTCACACAAATCAGCTACTGCAAATCCGATCTAAAAAGTTCATTTCACACATACGCTTGCGAAAGGCTACGAGCCGACGTATGCACACAAAATTGTCCATTGACATTGAACACTGCGCCCTATTAAAATGTATTCGAAAATGACAGTTAGTACGTAAAGTGTACATGAAGGTTTATATAGTAAAGTTGTAGATAGTTTGCGATGGTTAAACGATTTCCATCAAATTCGCAATATAATCTACTCATCTGTTTGTTCAAGTGTTATCAATGAGATTGCCTTATCTCAGTTTCGTTGTATTTATTTCTTCGACCGTTAATGTTATCAATATGATATTCAATATTGCTTTATGCACGAAAGGTAATGTTTTGACGAAAATTGCGTTTCGAAGAAGGTCATGAAACTCGTCAAGATGTTTATGGTACCCGACTGGGTTGAACTTATTGGCCCTGTGTTAACTGAACCCTTTCCGCCTGTCTAAAGGGTTTCAATCAAGTTAAACAATCGTTTAACTTTGAACCGATTCATTATCGCAATATTTACCTAGTCTGGTATTGTAATTTATGTCGATTTAATAAGGTTACGTATACTATAGGTATATATTATTATATAACCATTAATGGTTCGATAAACCACAGACTAAATTTTAATATTTTTCTTAATTTAGTTTTAAAAACACCCACATGAATTTAATGAAAATTTTATTTGTAAATATTTGATTTACTTAAAGATGCAAACAAGTTGTGTAGAGTCACTGTATTATCGCATTAAACAGCAGTCGACAGGGACAGTACGGCTCGATGAACCGACTACGCACTGCATCTGCCGCACGACACTGCAGCACCGTCGCTGGCGGCTGCTGCCTGTCGCTACGACAGACTGTATAAAGCCAGCTTTAAAAATACTAATAGGTACCAGCAATCTGAACACTAGCAAAACAACCTGAACGAAATCTGAAGCGACTATACCAACCTATATTGTAGTTTTGAAACTAGTACCCTAATAATAAGGGACCCATGTTCAGCAGCAGTTACGATAAATAAATTGATGTAAAACGAAATGTATGCAATGTGACTATGAAATATTGATAGCTAATCGTATTTACGTTTTAAATATACATGCGAACTCAATGTTTGACGTAGATCTAAAATAAATGACAAGGCCGATAAGTTGCTTCTGGAACTGGTATTTACTTTGAAGTGTCATCGGCATTAAAATAATTTGGCGGCTTTAAACTCGCAATGACATGGGTTAAAGAGAAACTTGTCGGCCTGTAGAGCAAGTAGTAGGTTATTTGGTGGCGAACGTAGGTGGGCGGCGGCTTGGAGGTGCGGTACTCGCTGGCGCTGGCGGCGCTGGCCGCGACGGCGCTCACGACGGGCGCGCTCGCCGCCGCCATTGTGCGCGGCGGCGTCGGCAAGAACGGCTCCACTGTCGCTGTGAGACCCCATACTTTTCAAGAGATCTCTTCACTTGGATCACTGACTGGCGATTCAGTTTCAAATTGTAACTTACTAAGACAACATGACAATGTCGAAGCACTTACTTTGAGTTTGAATAGAAATTAACGGAGCTAAAGATCTTGACTGTCGTTTAAATGTATTTGATATGAAAATTTGCATTGAAGTCCACAGACGTTAGTAGGACAGTGGAACCACGTGTTCTGCAATGGATAACGCGTCTGACACTCTTGGAGGTCAGGAGAATCCAGGTCGAATCCTGCCAGGGACCTCAATTCTTGTTTATTTTATTTTTCGTGTTTTCTATACAGAATCTACAGAATTGTAATTTATATAAAGATTTTCCTACTCAAGGCTCTACTCGACACTAAAAGCATTAATATCAAAAAAACAAACTTCCTGTACTACGTTTGTATGTTATTTCTTATTAACGCAATAAGATTTATTGTAAGATGTTAATGACATTTACAATTTATCGGATGAGGTCAGCCGTCTTATCAGTCAGTGATTCAAGTCGCTTGCACCGAATCTTTGCAGCCGAGGACGTGGGACAGCGCTTCCTCTACACTACATTGTTGTTTGAAATATTAAGTTCATTTGAAAATGACTCCCAGGAAATGGACTCTCCCGCTTCCTCTCCGTTCGAATTCGAGAATGCGGGCTTGTACTAAATATCCTGTTGATGTCGAGTCGAAATAGTTGACTTAATATAGATTAAAAGGTTGTTAATTTATTGGAATAGATAGACGCTTGGCCTTTTCACAAAATTTTCCTTTTATCAGAAAATATTTTATAATTTATTTTGAATGTACTGTGTACTAAATTCCTATAGTAAAAGTATTTTCCTCCATAATAAAAGTATTTTTGGTTTTGGTAGTTCCAAAAGAAAGCAGGCTGTGCATTTTGTAACTGTCGTAAGGACTATCGAACGAACCATAAAGAGGGCTATTGACACTGCGACTGCAACAAAAATCGAATCGTCTGAACTGATCGAAATCCGAGGTTCGTGTGACTGTTGCATCGTGTACGGTCTCCCTAGCTTTGAAGTAACTTAGATTATATTCAATCTTTAAAACATTAGTGTGCAAGGGCCAACATAAATTTGTAAACGCTTAAATTTGGTTATTAACTTATTACTTTATTCGAAATCAATATCATCGCTTATCATGTGGGTTTTTTTAATAGCATGTTTAGATCATCTTATTTTTAATTGAAATATCTTGCTCAACGGTTATGTTGAATGTGGTCCTTAGGTATACTGTCGTAAGAGTCTCGTGTTAATATAGTTTTTTATTATTTTTATGGCTGGTGCGTCGCCGTGTTTTGTTTAGTATTATTTGATGTGGGTCTTCACTCATTTCAGCTTATAATTTGATGGATACTTATATTATATGTAATTTTGGAATTTTGAAAGGGATTTGTAGCTGAAAAATATTAGTGAAAGAAATAACTCGGTTTAGCGGAACATAAACATGTACTACATATTATTCGACAAAAAAGGATAGATTAGCATAGTTACATTTGCTACCTCTATGGTGCTTAAAGAGCGTAACTTTTTGGAGGAGAGTTCTGGAGTGGAGAATTAGTTACGCCAAAAATAGGGTTAGTGGTCGGCTATTTATTAGTCGTCGTTTTGATTTTGTAATTCATGCCAATAAATAATCTCCATATAAATGCGTACTTAACTAAATTACTAAAGAACAATGGCGAACTCATCAACAAAAATTGATATGGGAATTTTTGTTGACATAATTTGTATGCGTCTGTTTTATTCTGGGCTTACTGTTCTGAAAAGTCTAAAATTAAAGATATTCCAATTTGAAGTTATGGAGATTTTTTATTTTATATTTACATAAATGAAAAAAAAAATCGATGCATTTTTGTTACATCAAAATAATTGACAGAAGCTTACACAGAATTCATGGAAACTCAAAGGTGCCGTGGGTTTGTGACGACGAAAGTTCAGAGGAAATTATTTTACATAATGTTATGGTCAGAAACCATGGATTAAGCAATAACAAAAGAAAACTGATTTAATTCATATGGTAACTCGGACACAATTTATTTTTTATGAAACATGCCGTCTATCCCTGATATAAGGAACTTTTTTCTCAGTATTACCACTTTCTCGCGTGGCATCTTTCGAGAAGCAATTATCTACTTTGTTTTTTGTAATAAAGTAATAATCTTTTATTGGAAATTGGTCGAATAGTACATTTTTTAGTATAATTGGAAAACCTTAATTAATTTACTTTATTCAAACTTGTAATTATGGCATTTGAAGACGCTAAACAATTCTTTTAGCAATTATTTCGCCTTTGTTCTTTGAAAAACGTCGTATGTATCCGTAAAATTAATCACACAGAAGTAAATGAAGCCATAGACAAGGCAATAGGCATAAACAGTGACTTCCGATTGTGCTTTCAAACGTAAATTGTCGGTCAACGTATTACTTCATTAATGGAACGTTTAATACTTTTCAACGTTCAAAATTAAAATTTATTGTTAGACCCTTACGAGATCTTTAACGGACATACGATGTTTTTCACGATAACTCATGTACGTGAAAACGTTAGGTTAACTATTGCTGATCATGCAGATAATGGGTGCTCCGATGAGCCTAGTGGTGGCTTTAATGTGCTTCGCGGCACAGTTGTACTTACTCGTCGGCTTCACTGCCACATTCCGTCTCAGGGGTTGCGGCAAAAACGGATCCACCATCGCCGTAAGCCCATCCATCATGGTGCCAATATTGCTGTGGGTTGCCGGATGCTTTAACGAATCTGTCATGTTGTACATCACTCTCGTAGCTTCCAATTATATAAGGTCCAACAAAATTGACTGACCGAACGCCTTTTACTAGCGGAGCTCCTCTTAGATGGCGGATCAAAATCAGTTGTTCCATTGTAATTGTTCATAAGAGGTACTCGAGTAAAATTTATGGAGCAGCTGATTTTATTTCCCGATTATTGGTGGTGTTGTTCTTTTAAAAGTTGTTTGACTTTGTATTTTGTGCGTGTGCTCAGTTTTGTTAGATGTTATATATGAACCTTTACTAAGCTGTTCATTTTATCACTTATATGAGTAATTAATATCACCAATGTTGCTAGAGGGTCTGACAGTCTTTCAAATTTGGATTTCATTCATCTCTATACTGTCAAATTAATACTGTAAAAGTTTCAAAATATCTTACATCCCTCAGACTTTTTAATTCTCTGAAATGATGATAGAAAACCAAGACTAAATAAGTTATTAATAGATTCAGGCGTTATTTTGCCAAAGTCATGTCAATAAAAATTTTGCACGATTTAACCGTCACTGGGTTCGCGGAGTAGCAAATTAATTTACTTCCATTTTTACTAAATAATTTGTTTCAAAAGTATACACTTTTTATAGTTTGAAGTTAATAATTATTTACCGACGTGCAGACGCCCTTGAAATAAAAGCACAGCACTTGAAATAAAGTCACGATCATGAATTTATAACCCGATAAAACGAGTCTGGCTTATCATTGTATATCATACACATCTTCATTATATTTACGCACTTGTAATGATACTTGTGCGCATGGCGCTATTTCACAATAAAATTCACATTGCTATTCAGTCTGATTAAATGGTCGTTTCGGCTAAGTAATCTATCCTAGATCTAGATGACTAACAAGATTCACATACAATAAGAATTTAAACTAATAAGACCAAAATACCTTGTGGGTTATCTCCGTGTTTATTGCCTATTATAATTTGACATATTTGGGATGATAGAATCAGTTGTTATAATGGTCAACACTAGTCCATTACGTGCGACTATACTGTTTATCTGTCTAATAACACATTTCATAGACTACATGTATATTTTAAATGTAACAATAGTCATCCCAAACAAACAGTAACTAACAAACATTACTAATTTCATGCAACATACAATTAACACAAGTAATGAGTGAAGACAGCACATACTATGTACTCGTAGGACTTCAGTTTATTTTAGGGCTACCATTCTGTCAACAGATGGCGTAAGTATACGGCAGATACGATTTGTGCTTTACCTGTCATAGGGTAATGTTCAGTTAGTTTTCTCTACCTAATTTCAGGGCAATTTAGTATTTAAGTATTCAAGTTTATCTTGAAATATTAAATAATATTTCAGGATACTCGAATATTAGATATTACTTTATAATAATTTTCTAAAATATTTAAATATTAAAATTTGCCACCAAAATTAGGTAGGGGAATATAACCTGAAAATTACCCAATACCTTTTAACTAATATCGCACCCGTATTAATAAAATAACGTCTATTGCGTCAGATGGCAAAAAAAACTTTCATATATCGTTACTTTATTATTAAGGGTGCTGTATGTCACCTAGCAAACGGTTATCATACGTTAAAATTTGTTTGGAAGGAAATGCACCATTCCTCGATACCGGCTTATTTATGCGGTATACTCTGCCCGTGCCCATGGTCAAATGAACAGATTTTCAAGTTAAATGGTTTCCACAGTATACTCTCCGGCCAAAATATCTCGAACCTACTTGTGGTGTGCATACAAATTTCCGATTGCTACTATCGCGCTCGACGAAAATGTATCAAATGCCTTCTTGCGCCATCTTGTGAGCGGGTATGGTACTCCGTTGTAGCATGTTTCGGCCGGCCCCCTCCATGCGGCATGACGACCGTCACGTTGATGCATGTTCTAACCGCAGCTGCCGACGGTCCGCCTGAGCATCAACCTCGCGGCCAATTACATAGTGGTGGCACTAACGTTGTACCTAATCGCTGGTTACATAAGTGTCATTATGAAAGGCGGTGTCGGCAAGAACGGCTCCACTGTCGCAGTAAGATCATCCACTTAATGAGTGCCGTCTGCCGTGCTAACTACACATGCTCGCGAATAGCCACCAATGCTCGTCATGTTTGTCTTCCAGGCTTTTTGATTACTATTTGCAGTTTCATAGAAGTAATTATTTATGTAATCAAGGTATCGGCGTTATTGTAACTTAAAAAGGAGGTTTTTATTAAGTCCATTTAAAGTATTAGAAAAATATATTCCGTTATTTATGTATTTTGTAGATAAATCACATTAATCGACTTTTTTTAACCAACTGCTTATTAAAGTGATCTGAGCTTGATATACATATGTATAAAAATGCTATAGTTCTACAAGAACGTCATCAAATAAAAATAATAATAATTTAAATATTTCAATATTAATTTGGCATCTCTGATTTGACTGGTAACTATGAATAAAATCTTTGATACTTGATTTCCACATTTGTTTAGATTATAATCGTTTTTATTTTAAATGAAAGACACGATGTTGACCTGAGACATCAGTTGACAAGTCCCATGTACCTGTAATTTCATAGGTAAGGTGGCAGCACGTCCCGGGACGAACTCTAATGGTAAATGTAACTCTAAGGGTCGTATTCTAGAACTCTACTCAATGCTCAAGCCAGGATCTGAGTATGGTTTAAAGCACTCGAAATCATACTCAAGTCCCTGCCATTAGGGTCGTATTTCCAGTGCTTGTTTGCCAGTGCAATCCTGACTTGAGCATTGAATAGAGTTCTAGAATACGACCCTAAGTATGCCACATAATAAATACAATTAATCTTTATTGCGTATAACGAACTAAATAAAGTATATTTCCTCTGTTAGATGTCAAAAACTCTTAACGTTTATTCCAGTTGTAATTTTTTTCCATTCATCTTTTATATAGTCTTAAACGTATATTTAGTATGTTATTTGAATTAAATGTAAATCTTTGTCACTATTCTTAAATAAACGGAAATACAAAAAAAAATGACAGACAGCTGCAGCAAGACGCTGCCTGTGTTCACACCTCCAATGTCCATGGAAGCTTATTATGTGGGGGCGGGCTTCATTACCTAAGCAGCTGAGGACCGCAAAAGGCTCAAATACGCCAACCTCAGCCATTGCTACAGCTTTCTCTTGCGTGGAACCATGGGTTATTAGGACCCATAGACGAAACTTAGTATTGCTAATATTACTTTTCAATTTCCCCATTTGTTATGCGATTCTGATGGACCTACGCCGATACCTAATAAATTTTATTAACTGCTAAAAAGTAATCAATAGTCAGGACGTTATTGTTGGAACGGATTTACCCGAATGTTTGTATGTTGTGCTGTATTCATAGTAACGTTGTTTTGTCCAGTTCTTTTAACAATTGGCTTGCTTTATTTGGTTGCATGATCGCTTGCTTCTGTACCGCATGTCTTTCTTACTTTTAAGTCTATATTTTGGTCTGTTTTTAGTCCCACTTTTTTTTTCTAATTAAGTAACAGTAGTTTTTTTTTTTCAATTACTTTAACTTTGATTTTTTTTTAATTCTAATTATTTCCCTTTTATCGTTTGCAATTTTTTTATTACTAGTTTTTCCAATATTCGTTAGTCCTTAAACGTGTTTTTGTACATTTGACAGGTATTTAATGCAAACTAAGCTAAAACTATCAATGGATCCATTCATTCAAGATAGATAACTTCGTGTTATTATCGCAGGTTAGCATATAAAGAGGATAAAACCAGATATAATTATTAAAACTCAATTGTTATTATACTTTTGTCATACCTGTCAAATGAACTTTCAAATTGAAATTCGTCAACAGATTTTCCCCCTTTCCCTTACCGAGATATAAGTTACATCTCCTACCCCCGCAACCCCGCAGGGCACGAGCATCTTGTCGCCCGTGATCCCGTTCTCGCTTGTGGTAGTGCCGGCCTTCATCATCTTCCAGAAGAGTGAATCGCACGTGTACGAGAACCACCCCGCGTTGTACATCATCGCGTTTGGAATGGTCGCTGCTAAAGTCACTAATCGACTTGTGGTGAGTTTATATTTATTTCCGTTTATTGTATTGTAACTAGGTGGCTACTGTGTAACGGTCAGCGTTTCCTGGTCTTTTTTATCACCGGACCTCTTTTGTTCCTTGAAACAAACATAAATTGGATCAAAATTAATAATAATTAAAGCACAATCGAATTTATGTGTGTTTGTTGTTCTAGTAGAGCCTATGGACATACTCGCCGGGCATACTCTAACCGGGGCTCCAAAACCATAACCCACTTTTAGAATATTGAAATTGTTTGATGATATTTCAGCTATGCATCGTCAGGGTAAGCTCCGACGAGTCGAGCACGTTAACTAATTTTAACCGTTTTTAAAAAAGAATTTTGTGCTCTATTTTTTTCTGTTTAGAACGGATATTTCACTATTTGTCAGTTAGCCGCATTTTAGTTAGTGGACGGCAGACATATGGTTGGTGTCACTTCTTACCATTGTCTTTTTAAAAATTTTTTGTCAGATTTAGCTTTGCAATTGTGCTCAGAATTTTTGTAATGTACGAGTGTATATGAACCCTGCCACACAGAAACACTTCCGCGACCGCCTCTGTGTAGCCTGGGCATTAGGGTTGGTTGACTTTTGAATCAGTTGGTATTGCCACTAGAATAAATTAGTGGCTAAAAAATTGACAACGCAACTCTCGAGTCAAAATTTACATAGTCTGTCTTCGACTGGCAACTGCAGGTGGCGCACATGACGAAAAGCGAGATGGACTACTACGACTGGTCTCTGCTGGGGCCGGCCATGCTCTTCCTCAACCAGTACTTCAACAACGCGCTCCCCGAGTATTACGTGCTCTGGCTCTGTACGGTTAGTGCCACACATTTATTGGTAGCCTGAATCTTTTCTTTAACGTGTTACTTGTCGTAGTTAATGGAATTGGTCTCATCTAATCGAGAAGGTCGTTAATTGCAGCTATGGGTGTGCGTCGACCTAGTCCGGTACTGCGGGCAGATCTGCCTGGAGATCTGCGAGCACTTGAAGATCAGGCTGTTCAAGATCCCGTACCCGCCGGTGGCGGCCGGCGCCAAGACGCCCACGCACGCGCACGCCGCGGCGCATGCGCAGGACCGAAACGGTACGAACCGTCGGCAGCCGCCGAGACACGCCAAGCGACAATACTAGCTCGCAACGAGTAGGGGTTACTATGTGAGATTTGCTTAACTCTGCAGAAGGGATATACAGAGGTGCCTCAGTACTGTAGGTCCAGGTTGAGGTGTTCTAAAGGCTACATGTTTTAAAGGCGTAATAGACGAAATAGTCTGTTCCGCGATGTGTACAGATTTTAATCCGTAGCGGACCTCTTTCGCACACATGCGGATGTGTTATCTGATACTGTTTTGGCCAGAGATTTTTGTCTGTTGCGCCTTTTAAATTATCTCCGAATAAACTTTTTATTGACCCTTTTCGTTGAACTGAGACGAGGTGTTCCATTAAGTTTGTCGTTGTGTTCTAGTTCACAGTTTTATTGACGTTAACCGCTGTCAATATTCGGGTCATCCTTCCTAGCCGTAGTAAGACTACGTGACATCTGCGATTGACGATAAATTCTGACTTTGCAATTTTAGGAACAATGCGAAAATAAACGTCAAAGAGACACAACATTTATTCATAAAATTATGTCCAATGTTTATACCACAAATCGGTTAATAGTTATTTTTTCTCGCGGTTAGGACATTTTCTAAATTTCACATACATTAGGATTTTTCGCCGGTAGTTGAGCAAACCTGTTCGGTATACTTACTTTCAAAGGGTGGTGGTCGTTGTTAAAAATAGGGAAGTTTATAATTTTCGTTTGAACCCAGCTTCAAAATGAACCGAAATGCAAAAATTGTATTTACACGGGAATTGTTCGTTATAGATATTGTACTATGTAGGATGTTCAGACAACGTCGAAGAAACCTACTGCTTGAAGCGGGTATCGGCACGCGCTCTGACGTCTGGCGCTCTTTTTTTGTTGGTCATCGCCTTGATTAGTTTGAGACGACCAACTTAGGCTTAGCTATCCCCTTCAAATAATAAACTCTAAGTTTCGTTTAAGGGTCAACGCGCATTAGTCCGCATCGTACACGCCGATGTTGGTAACGCTGCTATTACTAGAAGGGACTTTGTAATTTTTTTTTTTTTCAGTGTAAAAAATTACTTTCAAAAATCAACCTTTACAATCTTAGGTACTTTATTCCCTTTTTTGAGTTAGAGAAAAATCTCGTGTAGTTTTTGCTTGCCAGTTAAAAATGTATAAAATAAAATCATTAGGGACAATTTGACGTCCAAGTTCAAGTTTGATTAATCTGTAAAACGTGTACATAGTATGAACAAATTAGTTAATTGTAAATAAATAAATCTTGTTATCGGCTGCGTTTTAATGCGTTCAGCACTTGTTCTTTGATAAAAATATTAACAGAAAAAAAATGTTAAGTTATGATCCATAAGTTAATGAGATCGCCCGCAGCACAAAAATACAATTACATTTAGCTTTCGTTGTTGCTTATCGGTGTTATCTTTTCTGTCGCATTGTGTTGTGAATCACAACGTAACAAAAATGTCCGCTTTGCACAATAATTGTATATAACTGTTAGTAAAGAGCATGGAGCCAAATGCCATCCAGCTACCCTTCTGAGGACCGTGCCTAAAGGTGTATAGGTGGTGAAATAAGCAATAAAGAAAAACACCGATGAAAATAGGATTATTTTTAACCATAATGTTGTAAAATTGTAAATAAAAAATTGTAGATTAACAGCAGCAGCTATTGTGTGTTCGTTTTTTAAATGTTTTACAGCTCCAGATACCAGCTGTATATGTATACGGAGGTCAAACATATTTCACGCTATTTCAAGTGGATTTGTGCTATGGAGGACCTCCTATTTTGATAACTGAAATCACAATGTAAAATATCGTAAACTCAAAAATGTATCACCCTGTACATATGGCACATGTTAAGAATAGCACATAAATACACACCTGCCTTTATATAATTCTAATTAACTATAAAAGCATCATGACTTGAAAACTAGCATTTTAAGGTCAGTAAGTCGCTACACCCAGGAAAGACCCATGTCCAGTGCTGGAATATTGTGCGAGTTGTTTCAAATACAAGGTTTTCTCTTATGCTTAAGATCTGTCGCAGAATATTGTTTTAGATGTGCGCGGGCGCAACATAGAGGAATGTTACGTTCTCGTGGGGGGATCAGTATCGGACCAGTAAGTGGGACAACATTCACCAGACATTTTTACCATAAATTTGTGTTGGTTTTCAAATGCATTCATGTCACCATGGTTTAGGGATTGCGGTCAAATTACTTTTTCCGCACACGTTTGCACTTATTTGTCATAGTGATTGCGTGTAGACAGAATAATCGCGCTCGTGTTTTGACTCTCTTATAACACAGGCTTTGCAATTTTTGATCTCATGATTTGAGTATGCAGCACAACATTCAATGGAACGCGAGAGCTCGCGAAAGGTGCCGATGTGTGCTAATAAATGTTAACCCAAAGTAAAAACAGTGTGGTAGTCTGTTTAAAGTATTTAAAGGGACGATACAAACCATTAGCTCTCTTGGTAACCTGTCCTAGGCATGTGCATCTAACTAAACATATAAATCCACATAAACCTAGCAACCGCCTGGACATAATACGGTGGTGGCTCCTACTAACTCTGCTCTATCGAATATGTTCCTTCTACCTTAATTTACTATCCTGTTCACACTTATACTGGTGAAAAGGGATGGTAAAGAGAGGCGATGTCTTCTTTATGATAGTATGCTAGAACGCTTGCTCGATGTAGGGTTTCCCAATCATTTGTATAGAAAACTAATTTGTCTTATTATTTGCACAGTGTCACAAAGATACAGGTCTTTATTTATTATATAAGTTCCTCCCATTTTTGTTTAGTAAATGAATAGTTTTGAAATTGAAAATGTTATCATCGATACAGAATGTAGTAGTATAGTTGTTATAAATGTTCTAAAAATTACTCATGTCGTTTCTTACGAAATAAACACACAAAAATATCTGATTGGGGAACCTTGCGGTAGAATTTGATAGGATTTAATAGGTAAACAATCTTAGACAATTTAAGAAATTATAACTTTTCTATCTAGTCTTTAAAGTCTTACTTTCATCTTTATACACATTGTCTATTGTAGGTGCGGTCGAGGAGTTTATTTGTTTTCCTTTTTAATTATAAATTCTTATCAATTTAGTAAAACGTACGAATATACCCATGTGCACAAAGTACATTATTGTTTGATGACACGTACTTCTAAATTTATAAAAATTATTTAATTGTTACGTTTTAATTTGTACAGGAATGACCATTGATTTCGTGTTAAAATAATCTACACGTGCACTATAGATGGCGAAAGCTTTAGGATACCACTATATTATCATATTGAGGTATTTATCATAAACAAATAATGTCCCCGATAATGCATCAGGATATCTTAAAATTTACATGCTAGAACAAAGTGCTCAAGTGGAAGTCGGACGTAGGAAGTAGTAGCCGTAGCAAAATAACATTGTAAATAGATGTTGTTATACATAGTATACGTTGTGTTACATGAAGCTGGCTGTATTAAATACTGTGACGTGTATTTTTTATGTGAAATATAAGCAAATGTATTTTGATGGGATTGTTTTATTCAGACTCTCGCTCGTTTCAAGGAGGATTTAGCAATAATCCTGTTTTAGTGTCAACAGATTTATAATAGCCTCGATCAAGGCTGAGTTTACTAAAGGCAGTATGAGCTATGTCTGTACCATTACGTATAACATTAATTTGCACATTTGTTTCCCAAAATGACTTGCTTTTTTTAAATATAATCTTAAACAGACTTGTAGAAAGAGATCTTCGCATTATTTAATGGTTACATTATATCAACTCGACGAATTTAAAATAATGCCTGTGTTCACGAAGTACTGTTTCAGATATAAATATTAAAAGCTACGGTTGCGGATGCTAGAGCTAAGGTTAGTCCAGCCAGTTATAAAACGCTTTTGTACTCCGTGAAGGTGATCTTGTATTTGTTGGGGTTTAATTTTTTGCATTAAACATAGGAACAATCGTAGATAGTACATATTATTCTAGGATAACTTTCTTAAACTTTTGCTTTCGCTTGGCGTTTGCATGCTTACTAACAAATATTATTTTAAAATGCGCTTTTAATATAGTCTGTTAAAAGGTAAAACTCAGTAACTCCCATTTTGATCAAAAATGAGATTTTTCTATTTTTGTTTCATTGAGAAAAACATCTACCACAAGAAAAATTTAGTAAGTGCGTAGTGTCCTTCATTATAAAATTGAATTTCTAAAAAAAGCCTATACATACAATAACATTATAATCTATTTGCAACTAAAGCACAAAATCTTAATTACCTCCATACTCGATTTGGATTTTAAGTGAGTTTTACTTTGAAGTCGACGATACATTCAATCTGTTCTGTTTAAAATTCAGTTTACAGATGAAATAAAAATTACAAAATAATATTATTTTACATTGTTTTGTGTTGTAGTGGATATGTTGGGTCGTTTTATTGAGACTTAATCATTGATTTTTTTTTTGAGCTTAATATATTTGTTAAAATTATTTCGAGAAAACTAATTTTTGTCCCTTTTGTGACAGTGACGAGTGACAGTGAGAAGTCGGAGGGCGAGGACGACGTGCCCTTTCTCAACAACAACAGTATTCATTAATCTATAACATCACAAAAGACATTTATGCCACATAAAAACTCCCGTGTCGTGTACACATACGCATGAGGGTAGGTAATTTTGCCACAAGTATTTGACATAGTCACAATCTAGTACGTCAAAAACTCTGGAACAATCTTCACGTGGCATAGGTGCGAATTCATAAATGCCTCGCTAGAGTATAAGAAAACATGGTTTCCCGAATCGTGCTGGAGCGCAGCATAGTGAACTTAAACATTTTTTCATTACAAAATAATTAAACAAGTAATTTTTCACATTATGTTCTGACACAAATAGCGATGTGAAAGTACCAAAGATATTATGATACAGTAATAAAACACCATATATGTAACATATTTTTTTTTTATTAATGGATAAAAATGTTATTGACAATTTGTATGATCTAGTATTCTTTATGATAACCTATTTAGTAATTATGTAACTTATTTATTACTAAGTAAATATTATTAGATTTTAAAGTCGAGATTTAATCGTGTATAAAAACATATTTTGTTTACCTCAACGTTTTGGACATGTTGCAACCTCCATGGTCTCGAAGGAACTGAAGAAGCGGACCAAGGATGACATTTTATACACGATTAAGCCCCGATTTTAAAATCAAATAATATGTGAAAATCGTGAAAAATTTGAATCAATGTACAAGTAAATATTGTTACATGTATCTCCTATTCCAGAAGTGTGTTAATATTACATACATCATCATTTATACCCATTTATACGTCCCACTGCTGGGCACGGATCTCCTCTCCAGTTGAGGGTTTAGGCCATAGTCACCCTACTAAATAAAATTTTCGCTGACAAACTGGAGTTGGCAGTGATGATGAACCACAACCCGCTTAGCTATGTCAGTAGACATACCTCTTTCACTTCCTCTACTGGCATCAGTGTTTTAATAAACGCTGGTTTATTGTGGGTTCTTTTCACCTGACCTTTTTTCAATGACATAATATAATATAATGAAAAAAGTGACTACCAAATATAGTCATTTGTTGTTATGTAAAACGATAATAAAAAAAAACTAATGATAATTGAAATTAATAGATAAGCCATTTGGCACTTTTTTTCTATCAACTTGTCAGAAAAATCTTGTTGAAATTATCCCGTGTGCAGCTCGACATAATTGTCACTCCCCCCGCACCGCGCAGCTACCTCAGGAACGGACAGTTAAGCGGTAGGCCTGTAGTTATTACACTCCTTATCCTTCACATTAATTCACATACATTTTGTTTTATTAGTTGTTCTTCATGTTTCTTCCCTTGTTTTATTAGTTGTTCTTCATGTTTCTTCCCTTGTTTTCTATTATGCCAGATTATGTTTGATTGCCAATAACAAATTGATGTAATTAACAACAAAGATAGATCTTACGAGTGTGTATGTATAAACAAAGTGTAAAATCGAATTAATTGTAAGCGTAGGTTGCGAGTAATGTATTGGTTACCAATTGACTTGAAGAAAACAGAAGATAATTTATTTTGTTCTTGCCTTTACGTAGTAGTATTTTTTTATGTGGTTGTGACTGAATCTGTAACAACGTGTCAACATTGTATGTAATAAAAACAAAGACGCAGACTATACAGTCTTCAAAAAGATTTTTTTTAAGTTAAGCAACACGTCGAACAACTCGATGGAGTGCACGTTATGTTCAAGTGATCGTTGCTGCACGTACCCTTTCCTAGTAGATAAATTAATTATTAATGTTAAATCTAGCCTTTACTGTAAGTATAACTGTACAACATATCGCTATCTCCTAAATGTTGGTGACCACTTAATGCAGACTATTTGTCCAACTTTTCTGTTGCCTTTGATTGTTTTTATAAATTTATTTTCATATTACAAGTATGTACACCTTTATGTATTAGAACGGCAAAGCTTACTTATGCATAAAGCTAAAGTTATGTATTGTGATCAATAATAAAATGAATAAATACTCTTTATTGTACTTTTCGTTGTATTATTTATAGTATATGACGTATTATATCAGTCTTAATAAAAAAAATAGCCATAGATTATATCTAAAGACAAGACCCTATCTTAAACCTCTAAAGGAGATTTTTCATAACTGCTTAAGTTGAAGTAATTATTTATTAAAATTGCGGCTTAATTTATTTGATAGAATGCCTTGACTTACAATTATATGGACGTCGGGTGCGCGCTAAAAAGTGTCCGAACTTATAGGGCGTTAAAATCGTATACAGAGCGTCATTCACGCTTTAGTCTTCGTTTGTTCGACTGACAGCGAAGCAAGCAAAATTAGACAGTACTGCGATGACATTACAATTTCAATTCAACGTTTTAGCTTTTTCATATTCCTTTACATGTCACTACGTTTAAATAGGTTGACTTGGGACATTTTTTTCGTAGTTTTTGTATTAGACCCGTCGTCCATTTATTTGTAAGTCAATGATAGAATGTTATATTTTACTATCACATGACATTCATATTTTTTTTGTGAAAATGCTGCACTAAGTAGTTTGTCATTAATTTTGATACCAAGGTCGAACTACACAAGGTACGCGCACATCGAATATATAACCAGAAATAGAGGCGAAATGTCATTGTAATTTTTTTTGAAAACTATTCTGCCATATCATTACTGTGACAACTGCGCCCCGATTGGCTAGCCCGAGTTCGAAACAATTGACGGGTGTCGTCAACTGTTTCATCATTTCATCAAATCGACCAATTAACTTGAGCTTTGCTATAATGGACGAAAATTGCAAAATTACATATTCAACATTTAATTACCGATGAAATTTGATTCCGTTTGTTTTGTAATTAGATGTTTTGCTGTTTTTCCCACACCACTGAATATTAGGGGTTAAAGTATGAAATTGCCGTTTTATTGCAATAGGTTCTTTG